TATTTTGCATCTTACCAAGTACAACCTCAAGATACTACCCCAACACAAGTTCAATCGCTCGTATCGAGGGAAAGGGTGGCAATAACAACGCATCACTGTAACTAAGGGGTCTCACAGAAATACAAAATTAACTCTCCAACTTAGTCTATTTCTTCAACAACTCTTTTCCATCTCTCCGATGTCCAAATAGGTGGAACCTTCCGGTCTTCTCCTCTGACCCGTGCTCATCCGCCAAAAGGGATGTCGTCATGGGAGCCTGTCGGAACTCACAGTCTAGGTCCGTCACAACAGATCCTCTAGCGCTACTATCAGCCCTAGTGGTCATCGGGGAGACCTAAACCATATCTTTCCATACCAACCTCAAGATATCCTCACCTCAATAGAACCTCTCGATCGTCTACTTTGCGAATGCTGTATTAGCTTAGGGTCCTTTACAGCGTGGCTTGAGCCGCCACAACAGAAGGCCGACTTCATCTTAGTCGACCAGGACTCCTTCTTCCCATTGTTGTTGTTCTCAGTCGCTGAGGAGCTGCTCTCCTCATTACTCTTCTTAAAGAGGCGGACCATACGCTGATATGTAGAAAAAATACAACTTGAGCAGGCTGAAATGACTTATTGTCGACACTTAGTATCAACAGAACGCCATATAAAAGAGATATGCAAAAGTATCATTGACCAATACGAAATGAATGAACTTAGGCTGCTACGACTTTTCTCCGTAAATTCCATACCCAACTACTACATAATCGAAACACATCCGTTTCTATTACAAAGCTCGATTAACAAGTTTTCCACAACATCTTAATACAGGATTTCGATCGGCAAATTCATAGTAGGGTTTGCATAACAGCATAGACAAGAAGGGAGGGGTATAAGCGATTCGACCTACCAGCCCGTATGAGGAATTTCCAACCAAGTTGATCCCCAATTCATTATTATTAATACTACTATCAACATGCTAACACTCGAAGAATAACGATACGAAACCCCTCACTACTCTCCAACAGCTCCTTACTACGGTTAACCTACTAAGTGGCAGCTGAGGCCGCCGACCCCGACACTTTTAAGTGAACAAATTTGGGCATGTAATATGACTTAACTACATTATATAACACTATAGGATTCCTGAGTCGATAATCTACATGGGCTGACATATTCCTGCATTTATAATAATGACAGGGCGGTCTGAAAATACGCTCAAGAGGTCGTTGTTGGTAAGATACGAAACAGGCCCGATGGAGGCACGTCGCGAGAATTGAGATGAAATTGAAGAGACGAACGAGAGGTATCCTAGCTGGAGATGGTAAGATACGGAAGAGGTCCAAAGTGGCACAATACATCTCCATGAAGATATAGATGAACTGATTCTGAAACCGCAGCACTGTATGACTAAAAACATATGCCGTTTT